TATGTCATCTCTTCATCCCTTTCTTCCCCGAATAAGAGGTAGCGATCAGGACGGTAGCCATGTCCGGAGTATGGTGCCTCCTCTTATCAATGTATTTTACAAGCAAATAAACAAACAGGGTCAGCAAAATTCTACAAAAGAAACATCAATAAAATGGCAAAGTATAACGACATCTTACCCTTCCTTTCCATCAAGCCAAAATCTTCAAAAAAGTGCCTCGACTGGATTAAATAGCCGAAGTCATGCGAGTCTGAGGATTTATTGTAGTCCTCAGCAAGAGTGTTCCATTTACTCTCGTTAAACTAAAACCGTTCAACCGACCCTACTAAACAAACACGAAAATTGTAAGTATCAGACCTCGTCAGTTAAGAAAATCAAAGAAGCAAGAAATGCAGTCACGGGCATCGGAGTATGAGGTTGGACTTTGAAGTGTGGGATGAGGTCATCCTCATACTCTTGCCACTTCTCCCTGACCCAGAACCAAGTCTCCTTCTATGCTTTGATGGAAGAAGGCAGGCACAGGATAAATAGGGAGTATGAGGATTTATTGTAGACCTCAGCAAGAGTATTCCAATCACTCTCAGTGAACTCAAACCGTTCAATTGACCCTGCAAAACAAACACAAAAATGGTAAGTATAAGACCTTGTCAGTTAAGAAAATAAAGGAAGCAAGAAATACACTCACGGGCATCCGAGAATGAGGTTAGGACTTTAACGTGTGGGATAAGGTCACCCTCACACTCTTGCCACTTCTCCCTGACCCAGAACCAGGTCTCCTTCCATGCTTAGATGGAAGAAGGCAGGCATACGACGAAGGGGGAGTGGAACCCCTAAGGACACAAAGAATACCACCCCTGGGAGTCCCATTTGCTGAAAGATCGAGGTTGGTATATTATTTGGAAGACGTGCAAGGGCAAGTTTGTGCCCAAGGATGCCTCCTTCCAAAGGAAGTAGGAACCCACCAATTGGGCCCAGGCGTTAGGTACGAGCTGGGTAAGGTCCAGCCCGTATAGCCTAAGGACAGCCTAGAAGAAAGGGTGGATTTGTAGGCGAAGTCCAGCCTTCAACAAATACTCACTAACAGTGACACAGTCTTGCCTAGGGTAGCAGGCTCGCTGGTTGGGAGACGGAAAAAGGAGTTTGATATCGAAAGGGATTCTCTACTTATCCCTACGGGAATTTTGGTTGCCCCCAAGCTATGTCATCGCTCCTCCCACCCCCACCAAAAACTGAGGCACCTCGTCCAGCCTTAATGGCTTTGACGAGGTCGGTTGTGTTCATAATATCAACCCCCATCTCACTCGCCAACTCGCTAAAGTCTACGTTTCCAGTAGACATTGAAAAAACTGACGATTTACAATCTACTTCAAAACTTTTGCAAGTTAAAAGATTATGATACTTACAAGTTTCTTAAACTGATGGAGAAAGAAGGAACACTGAAATTCGTAAAAGCATCAAGAAAAAAGGAAAAGAACTCGACAAAGAAGAACACTTAGAAGAATTTCAAGAAGAAAAACTTGAAGATTTGGGACATTTGAAAAGAGAGATGCCAAAATTCGCGCAAAAGTAAATCTTCAAATTTCCACCCCGATTCCCCAAATTGGTATCAGAGCC